TGAACTGAAACATAGTGAAAAATGACGTTATTTGCTTACAAGTAAGTGCGCTTACAAAGCACAAAATAACACTCGGTTGTAAGCACTCAAAGTGTCAATCAAACCGTAAACAATACAGAAGTGAATTCATACATAAACCCAATAATCCGATAACTTATGAGGAAGTTCCTGTGGAAGAGAGAAGAAAATACTACACAGAAAATGTCTGTTAAGTCCGAGATGTAGTGTTTACAAACGAACACTGGGGTGAATGGCTGACGTAAAGCTATCAGAATAAAAGGCTTGTCATAAGACAGTTCTGCTTATTGTGGTAAGTGAATAAATGGGTGATGCTGAGTGTGGTGACCGGAGCAACCAATTCTATTTTCTAGAGTAGTTACTTATACTTGGATGATAAGAATATTCAAGAACGATCAATTATAAAATGATTAAATATCTAAAGTTCTTATAATATTCCTTATGGAATACGATATACTTACAGGTGTAAACATATTTAAGCCATCTTCAGAGGAGAAGTAAGCATCAGCGAAGCGAACAAACGATGAGAGTGATTTTATTTCACAGACTGATTGTGGCAAACTATTCTAGGGTCTCGAAAACTTACTGGTAGAGTAATTCATATGAAGAGATTTCGAATGTAACTGTTTCACTAATGATAAAACGTTATGGATGCTGTAACTAGGAGTTTCTGCATACTGAACTGTTTCATTGGATGTAAAAGATAGTTTATCAAGTATTTCGAACAAAACGATTAGATTTGGTTTGAGTCCCCTCTTCCATAAATGGTCGAGTCCAAGTTTATTACATCTGAATTTATAATTTAAGGTACAATCAGTCTCTAGAACGCTAAGTGTAAATCGTCTCTGAATGGATTTCAACCTTAATTTATCCTTTATGAGAACACTACGAAAAATAACCGTGCAATATTCTACGAATGACCCAACACATACCTTATACATCAAAATGCGTGACTCGCAGTTATAGAGATTACAAATCATGCAGTCTAGAAAACGCTGAGACTTGGAAATCTGTTTCGAGACCTGTTCTATGAAGAACAAATTTTGAGAGCACTTGAGCCTTAAATCTACTTCTGTATGTAACTTGGATAAAACCTTGCCATTTATGATAAAATCTAAGTTGAGTGAAGTATCATCAAAGTACATTCATCCACATTTAGACGAGTTAAGCTCCAACATGCATTTAGACCATTACTAGGCTACCTTGTTAAGCTCCATGGCGATTCAAATTTGCATATTGTTCAGCTCTTAGGGAGAAAATGCATTATTTCAAGATCATCTGCATATAGAAAAGACCGACCCACACAAAATGTATTTTAAAGAAGATTAAAAGAGTAAAGGACCTACGACACTACCGTATATAACACTATATTTAACCGAGATTGTATCCGACTAAAAGGAGTTTACCTGACCATTCGATGTCAGTGACTAAGGAAACAATAAAATCAAGTAAGCAGAGGGTATTTGACCCTGTAAGATGGAGGTCGCATATAATAAATACTATAATTATTCTAATCTGTGTACGTTTGACATTTTTATTCGTATAGGTCTGTGGAGACTGATTTAATGTGTACGTTGTATTCGTTAATGACTGATCTTATTTGTACTAATATTGATAAGCAAGGAAAATTGTGCAGCTGTTTCCTTTTAGTATGGAATTCCACAGCAGTGTACGCCAACGATCAGTTCTAAATGGTCTTCTTAATTTTATATCTTTGCTAAAACTTATTATAGTTAAGTAATAACGAACTGTAACAGCCTGAAATCACCAACATTATTTTCTTCAACTAATCGACAAACTTCATCAGTGCACTTCACATCCTATATTTCCAGATACTTTCAGTGGACGATCAGTGAATGACCGTCACACAATTATTCAGCATTATAATCAACAGTCAATTACGACATATCGATCAACTGGTTATAAACACTACATAAAAAATGTGTTCACATAGGCTATATTACACAGTTAATTCTCTTTGATGCAGTAAACTGCACATGATAAAAATATGGTGTTACCTACTGGAAACTTGCAAGGCAAATTATTTAATATAATAAGACTTATGAGTACTGTTGTGATATTCATTAGTTTGATTTTATTTGCTTACAAGCCAACAACTGGAAATCCGGTTGATAAGCCTCGTGTCAATTTTTTTGATTTAAACAATCATCAAATATAGTTACACAAAATTGAATCTTCTAAACAAAAACCCATAAACATTAGTAGTGAATATAATAAATTATCGCACCAATAGCGAGTGTACAATATCCCATTTGTGAAATTTGTAATTTTTAGAAATTCATCACAAAAAGAGGAATATATAAATTCACTTGGTATTGTTTGGCTTGTATCTTCCCATTGAGGTACTGGGTTCGAGTCCCAGAGTGAACATCAACTCTGCGATGCAGGCACATCCGGCTGACGAGTCCCAAATAGGACGAAACGCGTGTCCTGGATTCCACTACTAGCCACCGTCCATCATTGCTTACAAAAAGAGGAATATATAATTTATTTAAGTTATGTAATCAAGATCTCCTAGATTGGAAGATATTTTATATGAATTATGATATATTCCAATAAAACGATAAACTGTATGATATATATAATGAATACCCAATTTATAGATTACCCTATATGTAAATGTCATTAGAAAAGTGATATTTTAATCAAATTCATTCATGTATATGAAGTTTAGTTACAAATAACACAATTTCGAAGTATTTATGATGTAACCGATGAAAGTGTTCATCATTTTAAACACTGTCAAATTCATTGATACATGCCTTTGTAAAATATCACAATAATTATAAACTTAGAACTGTAGAGCCTGATAATAAAGTTATTGAAAACAATTGTTCGTTCAAATATTCTTCATGTTTGGATATTTGATGGGGATTTTTGAACTGATAAAATGAACAATTATAACCTAATTAAAGCCCCTTTCAAATGTTAACATGCCAACAGTTATGGATCTATATTACAACACACAAATATATTCATAATTGAATTGATAACCTTGAATCTTATTAGGTCAAACTGTGAGTGTATACATTTAGTTTTGAAAATAAACGTACAAAGGTAAACGAATAGTTTTAAGAAGAAAATGCATTTTGCCATGATTTTCTCAGCTAGAAACTATATTTTTGTTTACCCCAAATGCCCTGCAACGGCCGAAATGCTCTCATATGACCACCCGTATATAGCCATTGCCAGGGAAGTCATACTCACTGCTCTCTCGCACCACGGGTGTTGTTTACGAAATTGAGAAGACGAAAAGCAAGTATTTGGCGCTTTAACCAGGTTGCTGGATATGGAGGATTCACTTAGAAGAGCTGGAAAACCCTGATTCTAAACCAATGGTTCACATGAGCTCCACAAATGGCGTACGAACTTATCGTTGGTGACCAGCTACCATAGAAATGAATCTCCTTACGTTGCTCCATCGCCTTGTAGATTAGACCTTCAGATTAAAGGCACGAGGTGTGGCCCCGAAGAAAACCACCTGCTTCAATCTGGGCACTCGGGTAGTATCACAGCCCACACACAAATCAAGTGACTTATGTAACGCATATGTATTCGATGCCCCTGTGTACCAATATTCATATGTTCAAATAATATAAAGCAATTAGTCCCCTGTTAGAGCCATGTATGTACATAGGAAGGAGTAACCGAACAATGCAATCAAAGGTCATTGAATATGTGCCTAGATGGCTTCAAAATCAATGTGTCTCGAATGATCCGATTAACGTGGGAGGTAGAAGACCAGGTTCATCGATAGCGAAACATAAAATTGAAACGGAGCACAAAATTGACATTAATACAGCGTTTAAAACGTCGTATAGAAATTGAAACCTTGGCTATTCATAAATTTAAACCCATCTTACGTGTACAAAAACGATTTGTGGTAACCTTGAATTTACCTTGGTAATACTGAAGTCATTCTATAGCCTACGATAACTCCACAATTTCTTATTCTTTCTATACGATGTAAAAAATTTTCTCTCCTCTTCGTTACTTTTTTACTTGAACTTTCATTTAATTGACCTTTATTAATTTTCATATAAAATGACCTGATAAGTATATGTGTGACTAGATTGTTCGAAATGCATAGCGCAAATACGTCACATTTTTCAGATCAACTTCGTCTTCTCATTGTTCTATCGAAATAAATAATAAATTGATAGATACACTATTATCAGAAGGGGTTTTGTGGAGGTTTTAGAAATTTCACTAGTTGAAATCATGAGTCAATTGAAGTGAGACTAGCATGGAAAACCTGAAAGCACTACTAAACACTATTAATCGAATGAATGTTATAACAATGAAATTTTAAGTATGTACATGATTCGAATAAAAAAAATATTTTTTCAATGGTTAAGATCATCAGTCAGTTGAAGCTAGACAACCATGGAAAACCTGGGAGCACTGGACGGCCGTCTCATCCTATTGTGGGACTCCTCAGCAGTGTGCATCCACGACCTCGCCCCCTGCGAGATTCGAACCCAAGGCCTACTGGTTTCGCGCGCGAGCACTTAACCACTACACTGCTGAGCCGGTATCCAACGGTGTTAATGTCTAACTTATATTTTTTGTTCATTATAGAAACTTTTATTTTGAAAAGAGGAAAATTATGATAATAAGAATATTCATAGAATATAAACAAGAAATTAAGAAACAATAACTGATTGAACGTGTACATGGGCTGGCTGTATTGAATATAAACATTATGAAATAAGCATTCAAGTGATCAACCATTGTCTCGTTGTATATAAAACTAAAAACAACTAATGTACTATCCTTATTTGAGTAGAAAAATAATTTATTAAAGGTTAATTAAAAACTACTTTGTTTTTCAATGAACGGTAAAAAAAGAAATGAATATCACATGAAGTACTTCAAGTCAACATTAGAATGATTCTTTTGTTTGTATGAATTAAATATCATTTACATGTTGAATAAATAAGATTCATTATCAAAGAAGTTTATCGTACATGACGTGAATATCTAAAATTATTTATGAGATAAGCGATTGGAATAGGTAAGAAACGGGCAACAAAATAGCATACTATAGCTGTTTGAATAAAAATGAAAGTTAATAATTGTGGATGATAACAATAAGATTCAAGCATTTTTATGCCTGATGGTTTCGTATATGTTGTTTTAACATTATTTATTGCATCATTATCATAACATTCAGCTCCAATATCGGTTGCATAAGTCCCTTGAAGTGATAATTCAAGTTTATGAAATGGGCATGAATAATTTAATTGTTTACCATCAATATGATTATGAGTTTCACATTTAGTTGGCCATAGATTAACTATTTTATCCGTTTTTAAAGGTAGTTTTGTTTCATTTAGATAATAAAATCGAAGATAAAAATTATTAGATGATGATAATGAACGATGAAGTTCTACTATCAAACAACTTGCCAATGGTGGTTTGATTCTACAAAATGAAAATGGAAGGAAACAACCTGTTTATTTAATGTATGATTAATTAGTGGAAACAAAATGAAACAAAAAATAAATGAAACTACTTACATATAGGTTTGCAATACATGAACCTCAAACGTTTTTATACAAACATTCAGCAGTCTCATGAATTGATACCAACTATCCTTCTTTCTAGTTATAGTCACCTAAGTTTTTCCTGATGCATAACTTTCTCGACTAATTTATACACTATACCTGAGATATATCGAATAACATATTATTATTTATTTGTCCATTATTAATAGCTTTATTCAATATTGTTATCCACAGTCTGATCATTTCACAACCACCACTTCGGTCTCTGACATGGATTTTATCTGTATAACAATTAATGTAAGCTTTAGAATTTTATAAAGAACTATCTGCACTAGTTGTAAAAGTCTGCAAGCCATTAACTCTTTAAAAGAGAAATTTCTTTGAAATATGAGACAGTTAAACTTTAGTTCACAAAAAAACGTGTCCGAAACAATATTTATAATTTTTGAGATGGTGGAGAAGATTTGTAGCTCAGGTGGATGATACACGTGGACAACTGCGAACACTCATTCGATTGGAAAAATGTGGAAATCTTAGACAGAGGAAACTCCAAAAACACCAGAGAATTTTTAGAAGCCTGGCACTCAGGTCAATCAGCAATCAACAAGCATATTGAAATCAATCCAATTTAGCAACCAATCAGAAAAATCAATCACAAATATGGGAACGAAAATCAAACCAATGGGAGACACAACCAAAACAAAGAAGTAAACAATGACAAATTTAAGGTCAATAAGAACCAGTGAACATCGAGGTGCACAGAACAAGCTGTGAAACGCATATGGAGGAATTCGAACACTTCACTTCTATCTGAAGTTTGTGCTCATGATGTCGTTCAAAAGAACGATGAAAGCTCCACGACCAAACCATCCAGTTCAGAGAACAAAACGCTAAAATATTTATAATTTCGTTTCAAACGCAGATGTTATACTTTGACGATGTGATGAGACAATGAATAAACAGAGTAATTTTAGACATCTAAGTTCCATCAATCAGTGTATTTAGACAAAAAAGAAACATCATTGTAACCGTATGGAGTTGAGAAAAAGGCAATAAGCTTGAAGATCCCAGATACACTTCACTTACTGTTTTCTTCTGAATAGATATTCTCAAATTACAGTTAATTCAAGTTGAGTTACTAAATTAACAAAGGGAGATTCGATAGGTTTTGTTTTTCGTAGCCAAGAATTACAATAGATGATCACTTAGCAAAGACCAGACAATTCTATTGAACGTCCAAACTGACCAGATTTAAGTACTTTTTAAAAGTTCTTTCTATTTTGTTTACCATTAAATAAGATATAGAAGTCCTAAACAAAATATTTACTGATGTACAATAAACAGTTAGTTGCTAGAGATATTAAGAGGATATTTTCCTTCCTAATTATCCCTTTATAAAACAATACCAGTGATAGTTCAGATAATCTTCAAAATGTTGAGCTTCATCTCAGCCCCATGATAATACTCAACATCAATGAATACTGATGGGTAAATCTTCCAGATTTCAGTTTAATTTTAATCATACTTTTAGTTCCAATTAATTTAAACACGTAATTTCGACCGCTTTACTCATATTAAAATAATCGAGTACACAATCTTGAGATTAAACATAAGACGCTAGGTAAGAATTCCAAATCAGTTGATGACGTAGTGAGTCTTCAGCAAATAAGGTAGTTGCGACGTGTCCAATCACCGCCAACTTAGACCCTCGATGTTGTCTGGTGTAGAAATACGTTGAAAGCTAGAGGGGCAGATCAGGATCTGGCAAAAGTCCATAAAGTTATGGACGGTTGGATTGAGTCATGCTGACAGATGTAGACTACCTACTGGTGGTTAGTGTTATTATAATAACTAACGGTTAGATATGAGTTTGTAGGTATCAATGGCAAGGTTGGACTTGATAGTTTCACATATATTGAGGATTGGGTAGAAAGTTAGTAGTTATATCCTAGTGAGTAGCCTGACCGAAGCCGCTACCTTGACGCGGTGGTCGAGCTTGCTTATCGTGATGACCCAACCGAGCTATATTGGCTGGAACATATGTTCCTGCAGGTTCTACCATGCCAGGCAGGTTGATTGGAGAACGGTAAGACTAAAAACAGCAACTCAAGGTCTGAGAGCGAAGTCGTACTGCTGACTGTAGAGGGCTGTGACAACAGTAAGGTGTTTCCCTCGGACAACCAGCATGACAGCGATGCTGCCTTCCCACAAGGAGGGGTGGGTTTAGAAAAGGTCGACCCTAAAAATGTCACACCTCACCTTACCTCACGGATTTCCGTCTCCGGCGGTAAGGCCCTTTGAAGAACGGAGCTAACACATCAAAAACCTCCCTCAAAAAGGCCGTGCGCGACCGGCCTCAAGCAGTTGTCCCCTGGGTTCTACGGTCACGCTCCCAGGCCGTTAAGACCGACATTAATCCGAATTCCTTTTCAGGTTCCTCAAGAAATACCCTTCCATGGTGTGGGCAGCCGGGAAGTGACATCAGCCCTCATACCCGTAACAGCACACGAGACCAAGTTGGTCACATTCAAATCCTTTCTACACCTCCTAATACCTCTCTTATCTCCATGACTAACCCTTCTCACGTCTCTTTACCACCTCGCACCGCTAGGGCAAACAATTCGAGTACGCAGAACGCTATTCCTGGTCTCCTGAAACCACGCTCTAAACTACATGTAGGAGCTTTTAACGTCCGAACACTGCCAAATAGGACAGCAGACTTCCTTAGCTAGGACTTTAGAATCTCGCGAAATCGATGTATGCTGTGTCTCCGAAACGCGCATACAGGATCCAAGTAGCGTCATTCATTTGACCTCACCATGCCAAGATAAAGAACCGACTCGATTCACACTTTGTGTATCTGGAAGCCCTGATTCTGCTTCTCGTGGTCTGGCCGGCGTAGGTATAGCATTGAGTCCTAGGACAGAACTAGCTCTCTTAGACTGGATCCCAGTAGACAGTCGTTTGTGCGCTGTCCGACTGAACGGAACAGTAAGGATCCGAAAAGATAAGGACACTCGTCGTTGCCTCAGTCGTCTCTGTCTATTCTCCCACTGACTGCAGCGCAGATGATGTAAAAGATGAGTTTTACAGAAAGCTCTCCGACCTTCTCCGAAAAGCTAGGCGCTCGGATGTAGTAATAATGGCCGGTGACTTTAATGCTCAAGTAGGTAAACTAAGCGATAGGGAAAGACACCTGGGTGGATCTTATAGCATCGTGGCTCAAAGAACAGATAATGGCGACCGTCTGTTGCAGCTATGCTCAGATAACCGCCTGTTCCTTGCAAATACTAACTTTAAGCATAAGGAAAAACATCTTTTAACATGGCGACCCCCCAATTCGTCCCAACGTTGGACCCAAATAGATCACATCGCTATCAGCCACCGATGGAGGAGCTCGATAGAAGACTGTCGCTCATTCTGGAGCACATGTTTAGGTTCAAATCATGCTCTAGTGCGAGCGCGTATTTGCTTGCGTCTTACTGGACGTAGGAAAGACGCTGAAAGTAAACCTTTTAGGGCCCTACTTAATGATAGTCAAGCTAAGAGTATATTTGAGGAACAACTAGAAAAACAGTTAGGCAGCCATGTATGTGATGCCCACCCCGAGGCAGCATGGAATGATATCCGAAAAGCTGTGGAAACAGCAGTGATATCTGCTAGTAAGGTAAACCACAAGGTTAGAGAGAAACACTGGATCTCAGCAGCATCTATCGCACTGATAGATGCTCGGAAACTCATTCCACCTGGCTCTGAACATAATGAAGAGCGGAGTCAGCTTAAGCGCAAGCTGACAAGAAGTCTACGCAATGATCGCGAACAGTGGTGGGTGGCGAAAGCAAGAGAGATGGAAAAGGCAGCGGCAATAGGTAATAGCAGACAATTGTTCAGACTCGTTAAGGAAACCGACTGTTAGCGAAACAATCTCAGAGAAAGATGGACATTTTATACATTCTCAATCCAGGTGATTGGATCGATGGGCAGAACACTTCAGGGATTAGTTCAACTGGCCTTCAGCCACACTTCGGTTTCCCACGATCTCCAGTCAACCTGAATGGCAAGTTAATGTAGGTCCTCCGTCTCTTTACGAAGTTGAAAAAGCCATAGGAAATCTGAAACGAGGGAGAGCAGCAGGCCCTGACAGGTTTACTCCTGAGATTTTTAAGGATGGTGGTTCAGTATAAGCAATGAGATTAACTGAAGTCTTAGGTAAAATTTGGGAACTGGACGTAATCCCATCTGACTGGTCTCAATCACTGATTGTGCCAGTCTATAAGAAAGGACAAAAGTCCTCTTGTGACAATCACAGACGAATCAGTTTGACTAATATAGTGTCTAAAATATTAGCCTCAATAATACTTCGACGCCTAATCAAAGCTCGTGAAGAGCAGATTAGAGAAAACCAGGCCGGTTTTCGACCTGAACGTGGTTGTATAGATCAGATATTCACACTACGTCAGGTTCTAGAACACAGACACACATTCAGACGCCCCACAATGATAGTATTTCTCGACCTTAAGGCGGCATTCGACTCTGTTGATCGTGAGGTTCTATGGCAGTGTTTGTCACTGAAAGGTGTACCAAAAAAGTACATTAACCTTGTAAAGGCTCTCTACTCAAACACAACTGGTAGAGTGAGAGCTTATGGCGAACTGTCATCAGAATTGATTACCTCAAGTGGTGTTCGTCAGGGCTGTCCACTCTCCCCATTCTTGTTCAACTTTGTGGTCGACGTACTTTTAGAGATAACACTCTCCTCATCTAAATTTCCAGGGGTTGAACTTCTACCGGGAGGTTTACTTGTTGACTTAGAATATGCTGATGACATAGTTTTATTTGGTGAAGACGCTGACAAAATGTAGAGTCTTCTGACCACTCTAATCAACAATGCAAGCATATTTGGGATGCGATTCTCTCCCTCGAAATGCAAAATGTTGCTTCAGAATTGGGTTACATCGACACCCGAACTAGTGATAGGGAGTGAAGTAGTTGAGATTGTCGACCGCTTCACTTATCTTGGAAGTCTCATCAGCCCTTGTGGTTTGGTGTGTGACGAAATCTCAGCACGGATACAGAAGGCCCAACTAGCTTGCTTTTGCCAAATTGCGTCATTTCTGGCGTAGGCGAGATATCCGTCTATCAACCAAAGGACGTGTTTACTGCGCAGCAGTTCGTTCCGTCCTACTTTATGGCAGTGAAACATGACCCGTAAGAGTAGAGTATATCCGTAGGTTACTAGTATTTGATCATAGTTGTCTTCGAAATATTGCTCATATATCCTGGGACCATCGAGTAAGTAACGCAGTTGTTAGGAAACGGGTATTAGGTAAGGATGGCAAATCAATTGATGACGTAGTGAAACTTCATCAGTTGAGATGGCTCGGACATGTGTTACGTATGCCTAACCACCGACTGCCTCGATGTGCGATGTTTTGTTGTATAGGAGTAGGTTGGAAGAAAGCTAGGGGCGACCAAACCACAACATGGCACAAGTCCATGAAGTCACTGACAAGTGGACTGTGCCATGTTGGTAGGTGTAGACTACCTGGTTGGGGACCGCGAGATGATAGCAACCGATGGTTAGAGACCTTGAATGACATGGCTCAAAATCGTTTGCAATGGCGCAGGTGCATACACTCTTTGTGTTCTCCCAAATTTTAATCTACTGAATTCTCCATGTCCCTTTTTTTCTCTTTCCAAATTTATTTCACTGGATTATACTCCTTGAATAACATCTTCAAACACTAATTTTTCTGATTACAGCTTATAATGTTACTACATCTAACACTACAGGATTTGAGTCGACCACTGCATCTCTGTGCTAATGTGGTGTGGCAACTCGAACTGATATACATACGTACGGAGTTCTACGTTGTTACTGACTGACTGACTGACCTAGTGAGTAGAAAAACTGTATTTCTGACGTTTCGTGACTTTATGTAAGTGACATCTTCAACTTCTACTAATTGGAATATAACAAAAAATATATTTATTATAATTGGTTAGAAACTTTGGGTTGCATGGTTCAGGTGCATTCACTCTTGGTCTTCTCTTATAACTTCAGTCTCTCCATATCTAATCTTTTCTGTTATCATTGATACCTTTACTAACCTTATTATTCTGTGATTTATCTTGATGTACTAATTTGGCATAGTAACTTGAACCGCTGCAGATACATGTCTAGTTCTACGTAGTGTATGACTAATTGACTGACTGAATTTCAAAAAGAAACTACCAATTTGATATACAATAAATAGAATGCGGCTAGCAGAGAAATCAAGGAAGCGAGTTTCGTTCTATCTCATTTATATAAACTTGTGTCATAATAGTTATATCAAGGCAATCCTCACAAAATGTACATATGCCAATCAAGAGTGATCAAATTTCAGTCAAAAGTATCAACAACGGGATAATATCAACCGTTCCAAATTGAATGAAACTGGTGTGTGCTACTTATATTAACATAAGTAGTATATGATGTTAGTCGTGAACAGAAAGTCTGGCAGCAGAGAGACAAGAGGATCGGACAGTAAAGAATGGAAACAGGATGCAATTTGTATGAAAATGAAAGAACAATGAAGTCTGAGTCATTTTGAGACAATTGGTGGACATTTTGCAAATTAGGCATTTACGTTATGATTGTTAGATTTTATTAACAAGTCCTGTAATTTTGTGTTAAATACATTTGATTGTCCCCACTGGTGTTCTTGTTCACTACAAAACTACTAATTTTTTAGGCTTTTTTCTGCAATCACCTACCACAAAAGTGTCAATAAAAATTTTTAAATTACTAGTCGACCGCGTCGACAGCTAATAATAAATGATAAAACTTTGATAGAATATACAACAAGTTGAGATAAATTGGTTTGGAAGTGAATCATACTTGTGTATCAGTCTTCTATGGGTTTAATTGATTTGGATATGAAATCACAAACTCTTTAGACAGATTTATCTGTAATTGATGTAACTTTATGTCAAGCTTTACTTTACGTCTCTTAACTGTTTAATTTTCCATACGGAACACGCACCAACTACCTGGTTTAATACAGGAAGTCAATATTCTGTTATGACTTTCCACAAGACGCCTTCCAGATAGGCAATGATATTACTACAGTGCAATTGACTCTATGAAATTTTTTCAACGGAATCAAATAATCGTCCGAATATGCGCGATTTGTTTATAGTGGAATGAAAACATTATATATATTAGGCCTCAACCAAACGATATTTATTGAGTTTTATTTGATGGTAGAACGAAAACACTGCTTAATAGTGCAGACATCTGTTGTAGACAAACAATTACCATGAAAATAACCGTTACTTTGTACCTGGTGGAACACTAATTTTTCCGATGCATGCAAGGAAAATCAACGAAATAATGAAAGAGAAGAAAAATTCTCAGCAATGTCTTATTTAAGAACAATGAGGTTAAGCACAAAACTATGGAACAGAACAAACTTTTACCAAATATAATTGAGACTTAGCTACACTGCAGTGTATCCGTTAATGTTCACATATGTGAACATTAACGGATACAATGAATTATAGTTCTGAATAATCTTTAAGTTAATTCACTAAAGTAAAAATAACTAACCCATTATATACACCTAAATGGCTCATTAGAGCCGCCAGTGTAGAATCATGTGCAAAATAAGCAACGAAACGTCGATGTAGTTGTTCTGGTGAATCCATGTCATGATCACTATTCTTTAGCTCTTGGTTAATACGCTCACGAAATAAATCCATAATATGACCAGCCAGCGGACCACCTCGTAATCTTGTCAACTGTGGTTTAGAAAATCGAATGAAATGTTTATAGTCCAATAAGTTAGAGCATTGTTTATAAACATCACTGGTGACCCAACGAGGAAGTGAAGGCAATGAATGATCCACCCATATCGTAACCGGATCACATATACGCCAGGCTGTGTAAAAATTATCTGAAGAACTTCTGTCAATAGGGAAAGTGTACCCTAAGTTAGTTTAATTGAGAAAGTCAAATAAAAGTATTAGCACAACAACTGTTAAACAATACAAAAAAGAAGAACACTTTTATCCGGTCTATCTTACTTTTGTATGAGATTATTTGAATGTATAATGTAGGTATTTGACGCTTAACCGACCAGTCGATTGATAAAGCTTACTTTATTTAACATGCTACAGGAGTCTTGGCAATAGGATAGAAAAACTGTGACCTATGTTCTAGTACATAAGCCTCCGAAGACGATTGCTGAGTTGCACATAAGCTACCATGTTATTTCAGTTCAAATAAAACCTTGAAAAACTTGTAATGTACGTTCAGTAGTACACCAGTGTTTACCTTCCAGTAAAAATTTGTGTAAGTGATTTCCACAGAGTGAAACAAGCTGGAAATCCAGAGGAAGCCAAAGCCCATTAGGAAGTTATTTAGTGTTGGTTTAAAATTCTTCATTAGTGTACACCATAGGACCCATACATGAACCGAACATGGAACCTTGATGTCCCACAATAGGTCACTGAGTTACTTACTACAGCACTTTTTAAATTTATTACTTTGTGATCTAGGTGCTCGTTTCTTAATCTCACCGGAAAGAATATATCCAACTCAGTTGACTTCACTAGAAGCAGCTGCCCATTAGGAATTTAGAACTTTCATTAGGAAGCAAATCACTAATGTGCTTTGAGTTATTATCTGATCAAAGGAATGTGGTTAAAAATATTTATAAACTGTATTTTCACTTCATTCATCGCATATCCATGAACGTTTCTTGCTTTATACATCCAACTGTAATACATCAGTCAGAACGGCTAAGAATCCTGGTCATTCAAGGGAAATACTTCACTTTTGTTACAACCCAGTATAGTCAGTATTATAGATTCACCATCGGATCTTGAATTTACTGCTTATGATCTTACACGGTCCGAACAACCTCAGTAAACACGGTTCCTCTTAAAGCATCACGGAAGAACATCAGCAAGTTAAGTTGGCAGCTATGGTCAAAATGCTAATTGACTAATGAACACTGCCTTCAGATGAATGAATAGACAAACTTTTGCAAAATCAAGTAAGAACAGAAATTAGATTATCTTCAAATCGGACACATGTAAAGAAAAATAACTAAACGAAATTGCATTTTACAAGAGAAGATGCATCAAAAATGATGGGACCACGAGATACTCCACAAGTAAGAAACAATTGGTCAAAAGCAAAAACAGGCGACATAAAAAGACAAACATCACTGAACTACTGACCTGAACTGAAGTGGCTATGGCATGTGCTACGAATTAGGAACCACAACTTAACAATATAAAGGATTTTGATTGGTTCCAGAGATTGGGAACGACTAGAAAAAGATCAGACAATGATGTGTACACTATTTAGTCAAGTTTGTTTGGTTTGTCTCAGAAAGTGGTAATATACTGAGATTTATCGGACTCTGTAAGCTGCTGGCAAGAAACGTCTCCGGTAGTTGAGAATCGACCACAACTGCACAAATCTACTTTGTTATTTTCTCTGAATCTCTAAAACAATGTTCAGGTGTGTTTATCTATTTCCTGGCTAACAAAGCCACTACATTTTAATATTCCCCTAGCTTCAATGAATTTGTTTTGTGGCAGGCTCAATCAATGAATATTGAGATGGTGGAGAATATTTCATATCACTATTGATCCGTCTAGATAACAGCACATTACTTATGAAGATGGATATAGGTGGTCAAATAGTGCAAGATAAAATGAATTGCCTCCTTAAGACAGATATAAATCTTATGGCGTTTACATTTACCTATACGCTCGGAAGCACAGAATAAGTAGGGTCATTTTGACAAGTAAACACTGTAAGGAACCATAGCCTTGACTTCTAATTAACTTACCAGTAGTATGCTCCAGGAGGTCGAAGAAGTTTCTCAATGTGTTTGCTTTCTGAGATACCACTGATGAGTTCATCAGATGGTGAAAAAGCCTTTTAAATTTAGGGCACTTGCTGGACATTTTTAGCAGGTGATCTTCGTGTGCTAGTCTAGAAAACACAGGAGGAACGTTATTCGTGCTCTTCTTTCCCAAGTGATAAAATCCTCGTATAAAGTTGTTTGCAGACATCAGTGTCCTTTCAGTCCCAGAACTACGAAACAATGTTTCATCCTACTACTTAGGCGTTAATTGAAACACGACGGTACCTTATGATAAACTTCAGGAACGAAACCAGAATACATTTTACGGATAATTCGACCAAGTTCTTGATGTTGTTCTGCACCATAAGCTGTTAGCTGACCATATCCCATTTTCCATAGCTTTCGATATGGATCTGTTGGAAAAGTATGAACGGGAGACCTATCGCCATGTCGACATAAGACAAATACCATCAGTAAATCATTCGTTGTGGGTATATTTTTACGCACATCTGCTACCAAACAAGGATTTATCAATGCAGTTAGTATGGCTAAAGAAACCAATGCAGAGTTTACATTTAAAACGCTCGATATGTGCGAACCAACAGAAGAGAAGCTCAAACTCATGTTATTTTGCAGTCCACTGAACAGCTATAAAAGTGTTTGAGCAAAAAGATTATTCAAGAAAGCTCAAATACTAACCAGTACTGATTTGGTTGATGGAACTCATAAAGCATGTAGTTATCAAGAGGTAGATTTCCAAATAGATGAAACTTACTGATCGTCTAATAAAGACCAATAAGTGACCTCACCTGAAAACCAACTTGTATAGTGAAGCGCTGTTTCCAGAGCTTAGTGTTCGACGTAAAGAAAGTTAGGGTTCTACGAGGTAGCGTTAGAAATCTGCATTTTACCATTGATAGATGAGTTGTCTCAAGAAAACGAACAAGCTACTATTATGCAGATACTAGTTAAACATAAGTTCGGCCAATAAACAATAACCTAAATTTAATAAATAAACAAAACTGGTCATTAGGTTAAGTGTGTTTTATTTACATGAAGTGGTCAGTATAATAAAATAACGAGTTTGAACTCAATATAGACAAATCTTGTTTAAGAACGTAATAAAAGACATAAACAATCTGTAAATTAGGATTAAAGTACCTTCTGAGCAACCTTGAGGAACGAAAACACTTGCACAGCCCGCAAATGGTTCAAACGGTTCAAATGGTTCAAATGGTTCAAAATGGTTCAAATGGTTGTGGACGGAATAGAAGAAGCTTTCGCTTAACAGGCTTCCGTGTCTAGTAGCAGGGGATCACGAAATCCTCCAGGCAGGGACCTAGGTATGTTAACAATAAAAGAGGAAAAGAAACTGGTAAATCATAGTGTGATGCTGTCCTTGGTCCTTAAGAATAGGTCAAGTTGCCTCTTGAAGGACTCCTGAGAAGTCGCTTGGACTAGCTCGGCCGGCAGCGAATTCCAGCATTTGACAACTCTTAAGGAGTAGAAGTTGTGTCTACATTCCGTCTTGCTATGTTGTGTTTCCAGTTTCTAGGTGTTACTCCTTAGGTTATTATTCGAACTAAGCTTAAGTATGTGTTTAAGAGGATGTCCAGAAGTGTTAAGAATACTATAAGCCATTAATAAATCACCTCTAAGACGCCTATATTCTAATGGGTAAAGGTCTAGTGAACGGAGGCGTTCTTCGTAAGGCTTAGATTTGAGTCCTCGAACTGATTTCGTGGCTCGCCGTTGGATACGCTCCAAAGTGACCTTGTCCTTTTGGAGTGAGGGGGGAGTACTATGTTTCCGTACTCTAAATGGGGACGGATGAAGCTATTGAAGATTGTGTGGAAAGTTCGTCCGTCAAACTGGCCAAAAATGCGCCTCAACGTTATCAGTGCAAGGTTTGCTCGGAAGGCATTTTCGTCACAGTTAGCGTAAGACTTTAAATCATGGGGCACCAGGACTCCTAAATCTTTTTCGACTTGGGATACTACTAGAGAGGAGTTTCCTAAGTTGTAACTGTAGTTTGCGACATGTCGCAGATGGACTACTTTACACTTTGAAGTGTTAAAGGTAAGTCCGTTATCGTCTGCCCAACTTTGAAGTCGAGTCAGATCCTCCTGAAGTGCCTGTGTATCGTCTTGGTTGCGTATCTCTCTCCAAAGTTTCACGTCGTCGGCAAAAAGTAATAAGTCTTACGTTACCTGTTGAGGAAGATCATTTATGTAGATCAAGAAGAGAAGAGGCCCTAGTACTGAGCCCTGGGGGACCCCAGTAGGACATTCCATAGCCTGAGATAAAGTGAAATTAACCCTAACCTTAAAGTGTCGATTTTTTAGGTATGAAGTAAGCCAATCGACTAGGGGTGGTTTGATACCTAGTCGTTTGAGCTTGTTGATAAGACACAAGTGATTAACCTTATCAAAAGCTTTTGAGAAATCAAGGTAAATGACATCAACCTTTCCCTTGCAATCGAGGATGCTTGTCCATCTGTCCACCGCAGTCAGCAGGTTGGTTATACAAGAGTAACCCTTCCTGAAACCATGCTGTTGGGGTGAGAAGAAATTTAAGGACAGTAGATAGTCATTTAAACCGTCGCATATCAGGGATTCCATGAGTTTTGAAGGTAATGACAGAAGAGCCACCGGCCGATAACTTGAAGGTTCATTGCGTCGACCACCTTTGAAAATTGGTGTGATGTGAGCTAACTTCCAATTTTCCGGTAATTTGCCTCGGCTAAGCGAGTGTGAGAACATCACGCTAAGCGGCGTTGCCAGGATTGAGGCTGCCTCCCTCAGTATGGCAGGATGAACCGTGTCCGGGCCAGGAGAAGTGTCTAATCTTAAGAGCTGCAGTTTCCGGAACACCAAGTCAGCGCTTAGGTTCACTTCGGAAAGTTCTGTGGAATTGCAAACGAAACTGTCATCGGTAATGTTAATGTCGGTCTGTTCAAATGTCTGGGAGTAATGTTCAGCCAGAAGGTTAGCGGCGTCGCCATCGTTGTTGGTCGGGCCGTTAAGACCTACCAGTTGGGAAACTCCAGTTTTGGCTTGACGAAGAGAGGCTGCATAACGGAATAAACTTTTAGGATTGAAGGCAAATTTGTCCATAAGCTTTGTTTGGTACTGAAGCCTATCTTCTCTTATAGCCTTTGTGCATTTTTTTCCCTGATGTTTATATTGCTTGAACGCTCTGTAGTTGTCAGTTCGTTTCTATTCCGCCCAATAATGCCTTTTGCGGCTTAGCAGGCGAAGGGTACGGTTCTTGGTTACTGTAGGTGGCTTGCAGCTTTTTGGAATCGTTTGAGGAACTGAATGGTCTGTAGCACATAAGAGCGTGTGAAGTAAGAAGTCCCAATGACCATCCACATCGAGTTGAGGGTGAACATCCCAAACCACCTGTTGTAGATAGTCATGTAGAGCTGGCACATTCAACCGTTTAAAATTCCAACGCAAATTATTGGTGGGATGCCTTAGCTTAGTTTTGGTGACAAAACTGAAGGCTATGACGGCATGATCGCTCTTTCCCAGAGGAGCCAGCATTGAGAGGTTGTCGACTAGGAATTCTTCATTAGTGAATGCACAGTCTAAGCGCGATGGTGTCTGACTGTTTCTCCAACGAGTTGCCGACCTCACATTTTCATATAAGCCCAAGTCATCGATGAGGTTGTAGAACCGAGCTTCAATTGAGTTGTCGCCCCCAGTGTACGTGTGTTCCGCGAAGTTGACTCTAGGGAGATTAAAGTCCCCTAGAATCAGGATGTGTGTGTAACCGAGACGGATAGAGCGGGATAGTCCTTCCAGCATACGACTATCGTACTCGATGTCGGCAGTTGGCTTCCTGTAAATGACCCCGACTAGGCACCTCGAAGTACTAGACAATCTTACAGAGCACCATACGGATTCCTCAAGATTGTTAAACTCGAGGTTGTGAACTTGATGCACCTCCAAGCAAGAGCTTATGTATATGGCTACTCAGCCCCCAATTCCTGTTTTTCTGTCGTTGTGGAACAAAGTCATCCCAGGTAATGCTAACTCTTGGTCCGAGAACTGAGAAGATATCCAGGTTTCAGATATTCCTATCAGATGGGCCTTATTAGCGTTGCTAAGTTCACGTAGTTCATCCAGTTTGTTTGGTAGACTCGCGGCGTTCGTATATAAGCAGTTCATGCTTTCAATTTGAAACGCGTGAGCTTCGTCCTGTTTTTCTGTATGAACCTTGTGTGAATGGACAGGTAGCCCACCTGTATGAGGTTTGCCGAGGTGGTAGGCCCTGTCCTTTACACGTTTTTTTATCGTTTAGACAGTCCACAAGTGGAATGGTCAGCTCCAACTTGCCTTTGTTCTTGGTCCTAGCTTCGTATGGCCTATCCGGGTGCATGTGGAATATTTGTTGCGACACTTCAATTACTTGAATCAGATAAAGTAATACACCATATTCATATTTATTGCTGATTTTTGTGTTGAGAAACTCAAAGATACATTTTTAGCTGCAGTGATCTAGATAACAGAAATACACTAATAAGGAAAGCATTGGTTCCACTTTGTTTGGAAAGGACAGGGGACTAGATGACCAGCATTATTCCTCGCAATGGTCGTCTCTCAGTTGATCTAACCGTATTTCGGAAGAGTTGACGGATGGGGCTCCAATCATGTATTGAGATAATTAATTCCATACGCTTGTTATTCGATGAGCAACTCGATATTCAGCTGTCAAGTAGTTTGTTCTTGCCTTGTGAACTTTTTTAGAGCTTCTTCGTAAATTCACTGCTTTGGAAGTTCAGAAAAAAGAAGATATATCATATGCAAATTTATCACTAAGTTATTCAAGAACTGTGGTCGAGTCCTTTCTGGTTCTTCCATATGACAATGGGAATAGGTTTAGTTTAGCCAGTAAAGCATCAGACGGGAGCTTTGCTATTCCAGGAATCAGTTTAGTTGTGGTTCTTTGAACCCATTTCGACAGTCTGCTCTGTCTCTTATACAGGTGCTATCCACTTGTATGACAAACGAATACTTTAGACAAAGTACTCAGACGGCTGAAAGACCCATACATTGACCATAGGGTTCTAAAACCTTTAGTGGCTATCGTGGTAATCGTTACATATCAGCTAGTAGTTAGAGGCATCCACAGACATAATAGGAAGCGATTTTAAAGTGAAAAATGTATGTTATGATAATATAAAATAATTACCTCGACTAAGTGAATGAATGTAATATTAGGTCAAAACGACATGGAAAAAATTGGAACGAACTCACTTAAATTAGGAAAATTTTACGTTTTTGAATAATAAAAATATAGTCCAATGAGTTTCGACTGTTATAACGTGGAAAGCTCATAAAACGATGATTCGATCGGTGAGTGATGTGATTGTGAAAATGTCATAATTTACTGACAGCAAGAACAAGATTAATAATTCCACATCCCGTCATGATATTGACGATAATGTAATAATAAGCATATAATGATAATTTGAATCGTAATGGAACAATCCGACGAATGGATCAATGGGAACAATTGACATGAGGACAAAGTAACGACATGATAATAAGATCTGTGCATGTCCATGTCGTGTGCACAGGCTTTGCTGAGTGCGTTGGATTGGAGATTGAGCTGGATCCGTTGAGTTTCTTCGTCGAATGTATCAAGTGCAGAATTCTCTTCATCGACGCAGCTTGCTGCGTTAGGTTCGTCGTCGGCAATATTACCACTTTTGTGGCCCGTCATTTTGTCGTCATTTAGATCGTGCGATGTTTGTTGACGGGCTTGTAGAATTATGGTCTACTATTATATTAGTACTGCTCTAATAATAGACCTAATCCTAAAATTGTATATTTGTCATGATATAACTGCCTAATCTATAAGATCTTACGTGGAAGTCACACCATCGACTACACCAACTCACTGTATCGTATCAATTACCAATACATGATGTAGAACAAGGTTGGGTTAGAGAAGGAACAATATATTTAATATGAATAGAAGATATAAGGTAACATTCAGCAGAGACCACGCCTGCATGGCCGAGCCATGCTATTCGATCAACCCAGTTCATTCAATTCCTTCCGCGCCTTCTCCATCGTTAGGTATTTCTCCGCGTTAAATATTGAATACCTATTTTCCGAGTAATCTCGTATTCAGCTTTGAGGATTGTGTGGTTATGGTCCAATGCCACTACAGGCTCTCCACTTTAGTGGCCCGAGATCTGCCTCCAAGTAGATCGTATATATGTTTGTTATCACCTATCCCCGTATATAATCATCGACTTAAGTCGCGTTAGTCAATAACGGGATTAAATAAGTCAAATAACGAGAATGGACTTGTGAATATATATATTTTGTATATGAAGTGAATGGAATAGAACTAAGCAAAACGACGAGCAATGGAGATAGCGGGAAAGCCAACTCTACTTTAGTCATGCGTTAATCAATATTTATAGGCACACAAAAATAAGCTACAGACATGTGATGAGTAATGGGTTAAGAAGTGTACATACAGATATGCGCTCATATAAAAACAGTGAAGATTGGTAAACGAATAATTAACAAGGTCAAAATGTGACTCAAGTAGAATGAATAGATTGAGCTGTCCGAAAGCGAGAATAAGATATATGGGCTTAACATAATATCCGATACTACACTATTCGGGAGAACACACTGACATGTAATTTAGGGTATTCCATCTTTTGAATTTGATTTTTATAAAAATACAATATATATTCCATTTGCTTTTCATTTTACATTAAACAGAAAAATACGCATCGATGTGTGTAGTGGAAATATGGAATTCATCTAGGTTTGATTCGCCTGCAAAATAATCAAATGGGAAATTTGCATCTGCCTCATACTCATTGAGGTAATCCTGGACTCGATTTGAATTTTCTGCTTGTGCAAACTTCATGTCTGTCTAAACCGGTTCAGAACATATTTGTCACATTCATCAGGAATATTACTAGAGAAAAGCCAATTGTGAGGCAAAATGACATTTGATATGACGTCAGAATTTGATTTTTTTCAATATATTCCTCAAACTTATTGAGAATTTCATTGAAGAATAACATGAGAAATCGGATAAGAGATTGATCTACTGGTAGCTTGTGTCTCACAATGATTCTGAGTTTCATTCAACTCTGGACTGTTATGTGACTCTACACCGCTTTTCGAAGTCGTGGATAAAAATAAATGATCATTAGATACATCTAACTTACAATTACAAATTCTAGCGTAAGTTGCAGCGAGACGAACCACAGTATTACAAACTAACTCAGTGTATCCAATCTCATCACATTTAAAGCATTTAAAATTACGAAATACACATGAATTGCATGGTTGAAACTTGCCACACAACAGGCAGTTGTAGCGTGGAGCCGAGTTGTGGTTGACTATGCACATCACTACAAGAAGAGCGCGTACCAGAAAATCAGAAGGCAGATGAAGGTTGCAACAAGGCTTATTCGTTGGCGATCTCGTGGTATAGAAAGTATACCGAGATCGTGCCAAAGGAAATACAAGCGAAATCAATGGGCGAACGTGCGAGCGTACAAGGTTACAGTCAACGGAAGAATAATGGAGGAGTGATGGATGTCTTTAGTATAGTTAAACAAACGAGCACAGTAAAACAATCATTGGTACGATTGGTTACAATAATAATTGTTTCCAATAAACCAATCGCGTTCTCTTGGTAAAAGTAGGTCACTACACATTTTCCAAACTTATGCTCATCTTCGTGACGTGATTCGCAACTACTCAATTAATTATCTGAATAACCTTGATGGTGGGGGGATAACCAATTTATTGTTCAATGGGAATTTGCTTAGTAGTTTAGTAAAATGTAACAATCATACATCTAGTGCATCATTTGTATATCTTCTTTGAAGTGTTTCTAACAAACCTCAGAGTTCCTTCATTTCTGTTATAGTGATATATACTACTTATATCTATCAACATAAGTAGCATACACCGCAAAAGAATTAAATGTAGTTCTGACAGAATGAACTTATGTATGCATGTTTTTATATGTTGTGTCTTGTTTTCGCTTTATTTATCCTAGCTGTAGCATTATTCACCTTTTTTTCATGAATATAATACACTTTCCATCATGTATTGTTCATTAGATAGAATTACCAACTACCTATGTCGCTTATTTGTTTCTTAGACAGATTCATCCGTTTAGCTATATCAGAGTCTTGTTTGAAATGGATAAATAGATAAACTTTGCATCTGATCAGTTAGAAGAGGTTCGGTGTAATAACTGTCACATCGAACATGGCTAGAATTATTTGAAAGTCAGGTGGTATTTTTCTGCCAATAGCATATTGACATGATTTTATAAAATAGCTAACAATTCACAGTCATTCAAATTTACATTCGTAATTCAAATATCACTTTGCTTAGTTTGAAATATAATATAGTAATAATAAACACAGATAGATAGTGGTTAGCAGTGGAATCCAACCATTGCTCATCATATTGGTAATTAGAAGCAAATAGTAAAATGGTCAAAACCTATCGTATATCTGATCATTGGTGAGTGTTGGCAATCCTAAATGAACTCGTAGTTCTCTAAAAGTGCTTATATTCATGTAGTGACATCGTTGGAGTACCCTGTAAAGCGAGCAAGACCCCCTTGAAGTGAACTATTTGCACAAGTAGTCAACTAATTTATGTTCACTAGTTAACCTAGCCGAAAATCTTTCGATACACAAATCCTTGGCATTTTGAAAAGATGAATATACTTACCATCATAACTTTCGCGCTCTGGAACGAAGGTCCCGAGCTTGACTATCCCGCGAAAGGTCGTGGATATGCACCTCTGAGAAGTCCCACATTAGAATGAAATGTCTGTCCAGTGATTACAGGTTCTCAATGGTTAGTTTAAGTACAACGTTTATAACTAATAACCCAATAACCTGCTCAAATTCTAAATAACCTGTTTATCTATTCTTTTTGTCCACATTGTCCAATCTATAGTTCAGTCAGTCTGCTCATTTGTTGGTTAGTTAATTGAGGATTAACCAGTCGTTTCTGACATTATTAAAGAATAGGATATAGACAAAAATTAAAGAGACCTATTTACGCTTGAATTATTTTTACGCTATAAAACAGAAAGTTTGACAAGAAAAAAAGCATTATTGTTTAAATAAACTGGTTTATTTGTTTTCTGAACAAGATTTAAAGTGAAAATCTAGAAAAACAGAATTAATCTCATAATCCATACGATGCTACTCATATTTACTATAACTCAAAAGTTGAGTAAATGCACTAATCAATATGGTCATTTGGCAAAAAACATTGTTCATTGAAAATTGTTCTCTACTTTTGTTTGTATTTGTTGAGTGGTTTGTAAAAAAAATGTCTGTTATTCAGCTATCAAATTTTGTGTACATTTTAAATTATGGATTTCTTCTTGTATTCTGTTATATAATTACTGTAATTCAATTGTGTTTACTACTTACATTTAATTAGTAGTTTGTGTGATATTTCTAAGATAAATGTTCATTATTATGCTGTAAACTGTTTTTGTAAATAAATTATTTCATTTAAACAAGCAAGTTAAATGATCTGCTATTGTTTGTTGAATTAAATAGCCTTTATACATTCAAGTTTTTCTGGAATCCATAATTTAGCGACCAAAATATTAGTAGAATTCGATGAACTATTTCGACTCCATGGTGGATTATCACGATGCCAACTTAAACTATGTCCAAGAAGAATTTGTTCGGACTGGTAATAGGGATCATTAATTGTTTTTGTTTTATCATTAATATGAGAATGATCTTCAAAAATTCTTGTATCATCCCTTCGTCTCATCATCATTTCAAATACTTTATGGGGGAGAAAATGTTCAAATAGAAAGTTAAATTATGAATTGATTATCATTTAAGAATGAAAGTGTATGAATTTACTTATATTATCCAAAACCTCATAAGCTAATTTCGTATGTGTTTATTATCGAAAACGATTCATTATTTAAAGAAATAGATAAACAGAATGTTCAAACTAATAGTTGTTAGTTATTCCATCAAAAATGGGCAAGTAAAATCAACATACTAATAGAACAATTACTAATATCATATGTACTTAGAGGCTAGTTTTTTTAGAGATTTGTACTGTTTGGAGATGGCATTTGTCAGAAGTTGACATCAGACAAATAGTTACTGAAAACTAGACTGTGTCAGGCATCTGTTTTTCCTTGTATACAACTCTTTAGTGATCTTAAACAATCCATTACTGAAAAATTAGCTCGACAGTGAAAGTGGGTAAATATTTTATTTTATCCTGAAATGACCGGAGCTGTAGTTGTAGAGTAGGAATTCCGCATTCCATCTTAAGCATAGTCCCAGATGACCACCTTTGTGCAACTATGATCTGAGATAAAATATTTATGTCAATGCTTGCTGGCTTTTAATGACTCCATAGTTTATATACTGAAACTATTTGGTAACCAATATATTAAAAAATACTAGTTATAGACTAGAATAGCTTTCATATCACCTTAATCACTTGTATTTTGCTTACTGTAGTCCACATACTTGAAACCACCGAAAGAATAACAACTGAATTCAGGGCAATTCATAAATAAATCTTATCATTTTTCGAATACCCTATTTTAACAATAATGAATGTTTACAAGTAAACATAATGAGGGCTATCATTGTTAAGATTGGTGTGGTTGATAGTTTCCAACACTTATGTCAATCAGACACTAGATTACCACAAATAATGGCATATATGGGAATATATTATGGTTACTGGTTTATATAAATGTGAAAACTATATTCTATACACTTTGAATATGTTTATTTTGAATATGTAATGTCTGTAGATTTGTCAGTCATCACTTTCTAATTAAGAAGTAAATGGAGCAATTAGAGCTGCCTGCAGTCGATCAAAGTTAAATATTTCATTTGCTATTCACCTAAATTGACCTGTGATGGATAAGAAAAACAAAGTAACTCTTCTATATTTGCTCCTACGGATAATCATAGTCATCTTGAAAATAAAGAATACATGGATTTCGTAGGTTGAACTCGTTTATTTCAGATTAATTTCCGTCACATAATTTTACCGAACTCCTTACTCAATATAAACATAGTAGTCTTCTCAGTTATTCTCAGCTACGTTTCAGTATGGCCCATGCATTTCAAACAAGTAATTATACTATTACACTTAGTATTATACATTCATCCTCAAATGTAACGAATTCATAGACCTTTTGAAAGCATGAAGAATGAAACAACTGCTTCATAATAGAACAACTGTATTCTCACTAGTACTTAGTCATGACTGCTCATAAAATCAAACTTATGGCCTTTAGATTTTATACCTATTATCATATCATCTAATCAGCGTTGGTAACAAATGTTTCGTATGTTCCGAATTCTGTCTCTACAATAATTCCCTAACTGATATCTACAAAATATTTTAATAAATTTTATGTGTTCATTTCATTATACTTCCATCTTATTATACCTCATTTCGTTTTCAACGTTTATTCTCATCGTAACAATAAAAAAAGGTAATCTTATTCTATCTAACCAATTAAACTTTCTGATTATACAAGAACAATTTAACATATATGTTGGATGCCGACTCAATGGTCTAAGGGTTAAGTATTCACGCTCAAGACCGATAGGTCCTATGTTCGAATCTCTCGAGGTGAGACCGTAGATGTGTACTGCTAAAGAATCCCATACTAGGACAAAACAGCTGTCTAATACTTCTAGGTTTTCCATGGTGATCTAGCTTTAATCGACTCATAAATTCAACTATTACAATTACTATATTACTCACAAAACCCCCCACTCTGAATATAAACGCTTAATATGTTTAATAATTAACAATAAACAATTATCAATGAACTATTTTACATCATACAATAAAAACAACCTAAAATGTTAGTTAACTATTTAGCATCTTGTATAAGATCAGAGGAAAAAAAGAATAAACAAAAACAAATAGTAAACCATTGTTTATACATCTTTAAATGTAATGGACTCATCATTAATTATGACAGATAACCTGCTGTTTATACACTGATAATCTTAATAGTTTCTAAACTACTTAGACACAACATTAAACTGGAACTGAACAATATGTATATACGATTAGTTTATCTAATGAATAAAAGAACAAAAATTGACATGACATGAATAATTAAAAAAAAGGATCAAACTATTAATATGATTACTATGAATGATTACTCTAATCAAAGCATAATTAGTTCAACAGTGTTAGATGACCTTTCATTGAATATGTCTTGAAACTAAGTATAAAATAAATAAACAATAGTATTAAGACAATAAAAAGGTAAGTCGTAATCAAATAATTACTGAAATCATTCATAGTCTGAACATTGAAAACAGTTGATGTTTTCTTTTTATTCATTAGTTTAAAACAAACAAACAATTACAATCGCTTGATAAAAGTGTGAATCTATTGTAAAAACAAAAACAAAAAGAGCTTCATATGATTAGAATTATATGAGTCTGTTTTAGAAAAGTTTCAGTAATTTTGAAAATATATCATACTTATAAGCTAAGATAGATAGTGGCTAACAGCGAAATCCAAGACGTTCGTTTCGTCCCATTTGGGACTCTTCATCTGGATGTACCTGTATCTCAGAGTTGATATTCACTCTGAGACTCGAACTCATTACTATTCGCTTCAAACATTATCGCGTTTGAAGATTTACGTAAACAATACCAAATGATTTCACTGGCTGAAATCATGAGCCAATTGAAGCTAGACCACCATGGAAAACCTGGAAGCACTGGACGGCCGTTTCGTCCTGGTATGCGACTCCCCAGCAGTGCACATGCACGATCCCGCACCTCGCGAGATTCGAATTCAGGACCTACAAGTCTAGTGCCAGGCGCCTAACCAACAAGACCACTGAGCCAGCATCCAACGGTGTTAATATCTAACTTCAACCAATCCACGAAGTTGCGCCACCGTACACCATTGTCTTCAGTGAGTTGATATCTCATAACAAACCTGGTTGAAATCCACTGGTAACGGTTTCTCACTACAACTCCAGGAAATGCATTTTGAGGTCAGTCGCTAGTTAGCAGATGATTATTATCAGAAAGAATTTTCTGGAGATTTTAGAAATTTCACTGGTTGAAATCATGAGTCAATTGAAGCTAAACCACCATGGAAAACCTTCATCTCATCGCATAACCAAGTGTCTATCAGGACTCAATATCTATGTGTCCCAAAAGTGAATATCAACTCTAATATGCAGATACATCCAACTGATAAGTCCCAAATAAAACGAAACATATGTTCTGATTTCCACTGCTAGCCACTATCAATCTTAACTTATTCATTTTATAATTTCAAAGCAGAATATCTCTACTTCTAGATCATTATCAATATTCTTTTCTATCAAAATATAAATACATCACAAGTAAAACTTCTTATAACATAACAGACCGATTTCATCTGTTGTTACAACTTTTTTCACATAAGCAATATATATGTATATCGTTTCGTGATTTGTTTACCGAACACATGAACTAAGCTAATGGCTGATCATATAAAATGATCTAAATTACTAAATTACTTCTTGAATTATTTAAATATAACATCTAACATTAGTTTATCAATAATAATTCATACATGTAAATACCTTTATGTTTTTGCATAAATATTAAGTAAAAAGAAGAAGAAACAAGCAAACAATCCGGGTTCCAATCAATTATCATTTATATTTCTTTTATCTTTGAAATAACTGGACATATAAATTAAAAGAAAAGAAGACATAGCAACTATTTAAAAAAAAATTAATGATTGGCACATGGATATGAACTATCATTAGAGACAAATAAGCGGGATTTTTCGATCTTAGTAAGTTATTATTATTATTTTTTTGGAAACTAAAGTAAATCCTAACAAGGAATCCTATGTAGATAGTAGTTAGTTAGATGTGTTCCAATTACCCACTTCCTAATAAATAGACCATAAGTAACATGCAAATCAAAATAATATTTATGATTGAATACATTTAATATGCATATACATATATAGTTAATAATTATTCAATGAGAGGTAATGTTTGTTTTTTGTTTTTGGACTTGGAAACACTCTCTAGGTACCCGTATAATGAAATAATTTTGATGAATAAGGATTAAATTACTCTAATATGATAATTATAGCAAAAAATCTGTAATATATAATAATTATGTTTATTAGCATAGTTAAAGTGCATTGCTTTTTTATAATGAGGTAGCACAAAAAGATGAATACTGACACTAGGTGACATGAAACATTGATAAGATTGTATACAACTAGTACATTTATACGAATATTGAGGTATTTGATTAAACATGTGGCTGATTAATGTTAGGTTTAATAAGGTTTAAATCATTTAATGAGGTTTGTAAGCCCCTAGTTACTGGAATAATTAAGGTATCTTTTAACTTTTTTGTATTTAAAATGTGACAATTTTAATCGATATACTACTGAATCACTTTACGTATGTTATAGTTATCAAATCAACAGAAAGTTATTCAACACAGTTATTCTTATTTTCCTTAAAAAAGGTGTTATTAGCTCTGATTCGGATTGAAGAAATGACAGTAAACCTTAGGAACCGTAATTAACTTTCTTAAAACAATGTAATCTCTCTATCTGGTGTGAACTGTCCAGTCTAATATCTAATTCTTTAATAGTCTAGTGTAATTGAGATCATGAACTGATCAGTGTTAGACCACCAATAAAACCTAGAAGCACTAATTGGCCATTTCGTCCTAGTATCGGACTTCCTACCAGCATGCATCCTCGATCCCGCATTTGAGACTCGAATCCACGACCATACGTCATGTGCGCTTATGTTTAACACCTAAATCACTGGGCCGGCATCCAATGGCGTTTATGTCAAGTCTTAACCAATCTAAGATATTGTGAGACCATCTAGCATCGCCTTACACTCGACATGGTTGAACTTCACTGGTCAATGGTTTCTTGCTGAAACTCCTGAAATTATTTCTACAGATTATTGGTCTAACAATGATCCACTCAAGAACTCAATGAAACTCAACAATCTCCACAATCCTATCCTGATAATAATCCAGTGGTTATGAAAAACTCTGATTGATCTTGATCACATAAATATGAGTTTAATTAAGTGCGATAACCACTTTACTTGATATCTTAAAATATATCGCGATAACAACTTATAATAGTTATAGTGATTCATTTACTATTTTCATCTGTTATTCTAAGCTTGATCTTAACATGTATGAGATTATTCTTTGAAAAGATCATTAATCAACCAATTCACTCTGATCAATCTAATCTTCTACTTTCAAAATGATATTTTATATCCTTGAAATAATATTGATTGAAATATGGTTCATTTTTTGTTACTATTTAATAAATAGATCGGGGTAAGAGAATGCTTACATACACTGCTTTACAGCATTTGGGGCTGAAACTTGGAGAACTACTACAACCAACATCAAGAAGGTACAGGTATTTATAATTAGTTGTCTACGCAAGATATTCAACATCCATTGGCCAGATACCACCATCAACAGCCCAGTGTGGGAGAGAACAAACCAGGTTCCAGATGAAGAAAAAAAATAGGAAAAGACGATGGGAATGGATAAGACATACATAACGCAAATCATCAAACCACATCACGAGGCAAGCTCTAACTTGGAATCCTGAAGGGAAGCGGAAAAGAGGAAGGCCAAAGAACATATTATGTCGGTAAATAGAAGCAGATATGAAAAGCATCAATAGGAACTGGAAGGAGCTGGAAAGGATTGCTCAGGACACGGTTGGATGGAGAATGCTGGTGGATGGCCTATGGTCCTTCAAGAGGACTAACAGGCACAAGTAAGTAAGTTTACAGAATTACTTTTATGAACCAGAATAATAATAATAATAATAATAACCAATTGATTTAATAACCAAAAAGCAGTTAGCTTTGAATAACAAGAAATCACTTACATTTTTTAGGTAAATTTAAAATAATCTTCCTTTCTCGATTCATCTTACTTTCATCTTTTAAATTATAATTTGAATGAAATTTATTCATTGTAAATGAACAATTCGATTGTAATCGATCATGTTTTAAATGACCAGAATATATAGATGACATTTTTGTAAATGATGTAGAATGTAATACATTTTTCTTAATCAAAATATTATTTTCATCATTTTCCATTGGAACATCTTCATTACAATCTTCATCTTCATCATTATCATGATCATCATCATAATCATTATGATTTGAATTTGTATCCGAATTTGTATTGATATCTTTCCAAGTTATTTCATCTTTTGAATGAGATTGAATAATTTCTTGTAAGAAATGTATATAACCAATTGCTAATCTAAGTGTATCTACTTTAGATAAACGTTTCTCATAAGGTAATGTTGGTATATGTGATCTTAAACCTATGTTTTTGTTTGTTTTAAAAAAGAAATGAAAACAAGAAAACACTTTATTCATTTAGATTGGATAACTGTTTATGATAATTAACTATATACATAGATAGGTTGATAAATGCTTAATATATAATATTTATTTGAGTCTTTTCATTGATCTTTACGACTGAAGTTGATCAGTAGCTAAGTGGATAACGTAATGATGTTTGAAGTGGACGGTACCGGGTTTAAGTCCTGGAGTGAATATCATCAACTCTGAAATGCAGGTACATCCATTTGATGAGTCCCACGAGCCCACTGTTATATGATTATTGATTTAAAGAATGGGTTTTTGTAAGCTATTCATCTAATTAAACATTTATTCAAACAAATGAGTTTCTATATGTTAAGTAATCTCCCTTCATCTTGTTAGTGTTTATTATGAAAATGTATATTCAACAGTGAAAACACCTGATGTTGAATTAATCAAAATGTCACTAATCTTTTGTTAAACTACTTCAAGTACGAAAAATTAGCTACAGTTATTGATAATCGCTCTTTTCTGTTACTAATGAAAAGTTAACAAATGTGTTCCATGCTGTTATATTGAAATAGAATCTTAGTAACAAGCTGACTTATGAGATACACAGTAAACGTGGTTTAATTAATAGCTATCCTATTGAGTTATCTGTATTATTGTTGCAAAAATTCATGTTTAATTGATAATTGATAAGACATAGAATGTCTGATAAAATTGTGATATAAACACAATTAGTCTGTTTAAACGAAAAATGTATATAAGCACACATATATACTTAATGCTGACATATAATAGCTCGATTAATTCTATTTATTTATCACAACAGTATAACTAAATATATTCTGAAGAAGTGACTTACACTAAGTCACGAAACATCAGAAATACAATTTTTTCTACTCACTACGATATAACAAAACATATATTTATTATTTAAATATTTCCAGGGGAGTTTGGTGGACATTATAGTGATTTATTAGTTGAGATCATGAGTCAATTGAAGCTAGACGATACTGAACGGCCGTTTTGTCCGAGTATGGAACTCCTCAACGGAACGCATCTAGGATCTCGCCTCGCAAGGTTCGAACCCACGACCTATCAACCTCGTGCGTAAGCGCCTAACTAATGGGCCACTAAGCCGGCATCCAGCAGTGTTAATGTCCAACTTCAACTGATCCACGAAATTGAGCCACCATTCACCTTTGTCATCAGTACTTCGAAGTTTTTCATGGTGGTATAACTTCAACTGACTCATGAATTCACTTATTAAATTTGCATATTTGTTTTAAAAAATATTTAAAACAGTTAGTCCCTCTGATAAACTTCATCTTCTCATTGCACTATTGAAATTTAATAAAAATATTTACTTGACAGTTCACCCCCTCCCCACTTCACTTCATTATAATTGGTACATGTAAAATTACCTTTCAAAAAAAGGGTGGGGGAGTATTTCTTTTTACTTATATGTATAGATGGAATGAATGTTAACTTTAATTCATTCACCTTTTTTTTATTTTTTAATTAATGTAACCGAATAGTTCACCTTTTTTTCTCTCTTTAGAAACATCTGTCATCCTGTTTTCTTTTTCTCTTGTCTTATGATTTAAACAGTTTTACTTTGTCACAACAACAACAACAACAACAAAAGGTGAAAATGTTACACATTTTAGAATAGAAGTTACGTTTATTTATTATTTATCTATAAAACGATTAGTATCAATTCAGAAAAGAAGAAACAAAAACACAACCGGTAATGTTCACATTATCAACTAATTTGGCTAACCTTCAAATGCTTTATTAATTGATTGCATTCGTCTACGTTCACGCATATTCGCTGCTTGTCTTTGAAAGGAATGTAAATTATGATTCTTAAAATGTCCAGTTTTTCTTATATTCATAATTTTAATACGATTTGATCGATATAATAATTTATTATTTGATCTTATTGTAGATAATGATCTTATTCTATTATGTATATTAGTAGTAGTATTAGTAGTAGTATCATTACTATTGAATGAAATACTTGAACCATTTGATGATTCATTATCTAAATCATATAAGAATTCATTAGAATTATCATAATTTCTATTATTATTATTCATTAAGATATTTGATTGTATTAAGTTTGTATTGAATGGTAATATAATATTATGATTATGTTTCATATCATTATGAAGAGATTTCAATAGATTTGCATTGGGATATCTACTATTATCGTAATCATTTTCATTAAGATGACTACTATTATTACTATCAGTAGTATTAGTATTATTATCATTGTTATTAAATACTGAACTCGACCATGTATTGTAATCCATTGGTATACATTGATGATGATTAAGGGTATAATTTGAGGCATTACATAATTGTATTGTATTAGAATTAATTATTTCAGAATTGAAATATTTTTCATTTAAATTAAATGATTCATTATTTGATTCGAGATTAAAATTAGTTAAAGGTAATTTAGATATTAATTTATGTGTTGTCAAGTTAATAGACTGTTGTATAGGTGTAATGAATGACTGATCCATATTATGTGTGTTTAATTGTTGTTGTTGTTGTTGTGTTTGATTTGTCCAATAGTGTTTAATATTATTAGTAGTATTAGTAGTATTTGTAGAAGTGGTAATCATTTCATTATGATAATTATCCATAATAGGTGTAAACCAATGTTGAATAGAATTACGTAGAATTGAAACTGGTAAAGATTTAGTATCGAATGTCACTGTAAATTAAAATGTATGATATATAGTTACTAAATTATTATCATGGTTAATACTACTAATTACTGTTAAACATTAATGGTATTCTCTATTGTGATTTTATATTTATTAAGTTTAAATATAGCTTGTAGGTTGAATTAATCTTTTTCGAGGTATTATTTGAAATCATGAAGGTGTAGATGTATGTTTCAATCTAGCATGGGAATCCTGAGCAGGATGCACCAACAACTGAGCTAGAGATCGAACCTAGGACCTTCAGTTGTCTGAGTGAATACTCGATTATTAGCATCATTAGATCAGCCTCAATGATGAATTTTAAAATTCTATCGGTAACTGATATAGATCTACAAAATCAAGAATTCAAGTAACATGCTTATTGCTCAGTCACTTGATACTCTTATAGATATACATTTACTAACTGAACACTGCATATTAATTGAAATTTCCTTGTCTAATCCTTAAAGTTCATAGAATTCTATCAACGTAATGTTGTCACTAAACTAAATTATTGAACTTCTTTATACGACTTTTTTACTTTAAGCTTCTGAATTCCCTTGACAGAAAGCTTTACAATTAGATTTTATGATAGTTAGCACTTATCAAACAAAGAGTATTGAATTTTCAAGAAATAAACGTTTAAATGTTGAGCAAAAAGTATTATATGACTTAATTCTATGGCTTGAATTTTTTTTTCTGGTTAGTGTTTTTTTAGCGAGTTCCACTGATAAACATGGTGGATCTAATGTAGATTTGAAGGCGTGAATCGACAAAGCAACACTAGCATATCTACAACTGAAGAATATCTGGAACTCAAAACAACTGTCTGTCAATCAACATCAAAGTCAGAATTTTCAATACAAATGTCAAGACAGTTCTACTGTATGGGGTGGAAACTTGGAAAACTACGAAATCCATCATCCAGAAGATACAAGTGTTTATTAACAATTGTCTACGCAAAATACTTCGGATCCGTTGGTCAGACAGTATTAGCAACAACCTACTATGGGAGAGAACAAACCAGATTCCATCGGAGGAAGAAATTATGAAGAAGCGTTGGAAGTGGATAGGACACACAATGAGGAAATCACCCAACTGAATCACAAGACAAGCCCTCACATGGAATCCTCAAGGCCAAAGGAAAAGAGGAAGACCAAAGAACACATTACGCCGAGAAATGGAAATAGACATGAGAAAAATGAACAAGAATTGGATGGAACTAGAAAAGAAGGCCCAGGACAGAGTGGGTTGGAGAATGCTGGTCGGCGGCCTATGCTCCATTAGGAGTAACAGGCGTAATAAAGTAAGTGAGTAAGCAAGTACGTAATTCGCCGTTACCTTTAAACTAACTGACAATGGATTAGGACAATTTAATCTTGTTGAGAATACTGAAACTTTACTACATGTTTTATGTCATTCAAATTTTCAAACATTCGTATTACCTATACAAGCAGTTATTCTTTCTTCGTAATTAAAATTCATAATGATATATATGTTGTAAAGTATATGACATATGTCATCATCATTACACATCTATATTATTTTAATATAAGGGTATCTAATATTAGAACATTATCCATCTTACTTTTTCATCAAAAAAAGGGAAAAATAGTTACAGATCTTAATCCCTTCAAATAATGTCATTCTAAAAGAAAAAGAAGAATCATTCTCGATATCTATCACTTTGTTTCTTCCATCAAATTGGTCCTATAAACAATTGATGGCATTATTTTAGTGTTCGATACTATTAGGTGATAACCAGCATATTTTGTCTCTTCATAATTCATTGAATATTTTCGTTATGATGACATATTAGACAAAAAGCCTTTGGTAGTCATCGTCTGTATCCCTTATTCGATGTTGCTTAGAATTATTTGTTCTATTCTACACCCCCAACCCCCACTTCTCTTTTACTTTTTTTCTAAAAAAAATATGCGTGTCACATTAATTTGTTTCCACTGAATAGTTTTTAATGTTTGTTTTTTTATTATAAAACTTATACTATTCCATGCCATTTTTATATAATAGACTTGATCAATATATTTTAAAAGTTTTTTTTAATAGTCTATTAACTGTTGTCCTTGTTGATGAGATGGGAGAAATGTCAGCTGGGCTTATGGAAAAATCTTATGGAAACATCCCACTCCTATTGAAAGTAAAGAATTTAAACACCACCAACACTCCCATAAATATCGTCATCACCATTATTTTTTTTTACATAGACACACATAAACACACATTCATTTCTTCACTTTTTAGAAAACTCTATTATTTCTTCGTAATATAATGCTACTTCTCATTCTCTGATATTGTAACCTATCCCCCGCCTCTATTAGACATAAACAAACACTTAATTCATGTATACACATACATAATTAATCCTCCTCTAAAGAAAATTTTTTTCTGCTTTATAATAGTTTGCTAAATAGATAACTTATCTATCTATCTACCTTGAAGGCAGAAGTACACATAGTGTAAATACTGGCCATTCAAGTTTTAAATCATACTGTATACAAATATGTATATGTGTATGAATGTTCACTGAATGAAATATTCTATTCTGTCTCTTTTTGTGAAAGATAAAATTAGAAGCAAAAACAAAACAACATCTGTGGTAATTCACATGTTGTTCTCAAAAGGAATAACAAGGAATAAACATTACACCTTTCTTTATTGTCGAATGCTTGTGTGTGTGTGTTTGTTGTTGAAAATTTAGGTAAAATAAACTCAAGAAAACTAAATTTATAAGACAAACAAATTATACAAATAAATCATTTACTAATTTGATAGTTATGATAGTAACCAACTTGAAGTGTTTCAACGTAAAACCATATCTTATTAGAAACGAATTAATAATATAATCGATTTGATGTTAAATTATGAATTAAATAGTCATTTTTAAAGTTCTATTATTCCTAATGGTAAGATGGTGGAGAAGATTTGTAGTTCAGGTGGATGATTTTGATGAAGTTTTATTCTTTGAGCTGGATAATTTGATCGTGGAGCTTTCATTATTCTTCTGAACGATATCATCAGTACAAACTTTAGGTAGAAGTGAAGTATTCGAAATTTGTGTTGATGATATCGTTCGAAAGAACGATGAAAACTTCACGATCATACCATTCAGCTCAGAGAACAAAACTTCATCAAAAATGATAACGGTTTCTTTAAAATGAACTTTATTAGAATTTCACTACAGACTTTATCAATAATTTTATAGATTTGTCGCTGAATTAGATTACTTTAGTGGAGTTTTGTTCTGTGAGCTGGATGATTTGGTCATGGAGCTTTGATCGTTCTACTGAACGACATTATCAGCACAAACTTCAGATAATGATGTTTTGGCCTAACTCATTCTCGTCAGTTGACAAGGATTACCTAGATGATTGATATTAACAGTGTCTTTTGTTAATCAAAAGCATAATTTAATGAATAACATAAGAATTTTTGTTTAAAAAGTACACAATTTTTAAAATTATTTCAGTCTAATCAGCTTTTGTTATTTAGTCCAACTTCTTTTAACATTTAACTGTATTGAACTCAAAATGAGATATGATGAATTACTTGAATAGAAAAACATCCAAGTCTACACAACTCCTCGACATAAACTATAATCTAGTCAGTATTAATATACATAGTGAATAAGTTGAAAGAGCAAGGCAATCAACAATCTAAAGGTATATATTCGACAAATAATCCTGAATACTTGTAAAAATATGTACTATTTATTAGTGAACCGCTTTTGTAAATAGGGAAATCGAGTTATCAGGTTAATCAGTGGATAAAATTGTTCTTACCAAATATATGAAAATATCATTATGAAACTGGTATGGAAAGCAATAAGTGACCAAGATCATTAGATTCTAATTTTATAAGTTGACAACCATTGATAGTTTAAATATCAGTTACCTGTGTTCATTTTAAGTTAAATATACACAGGTTTAACTGATGAGCCCCAAATAGGACGAAATACAGTTCTTGAATTTCACTTACAAATACTATACTTAAATATTTTGTATATAAACATATTATTTCTGTTATAAATTAAGACTCAGTTTGCTGATTAGTTGTTCTGTCATTCAATATCCATTCACTGAAGATGGCTGTTGAGTCAATAGTTTAGTTTTTGTACTCAATCAACACTAGGATGTGCACTAATCTTATCTAGTTAAAGGGAATGATTAAATACCAAAATAATTCCCACAATATTCTTTCATTATAATACAATTTACTAAGTCAAACTGGGAAAAAATGTATATTAAATTAACACATTGTCATATTATTTATTATATTACTATAAATCCAGATGGTAATTCACACAAGTAGAAGAATAAATGTCTGTATACCACTATTATTATTATTATTATTAATGTCGTTGATGTTAATTTACAGTATTCTGAATTTCATAAAAACAACAGAATAATTAAGTACAATAGTCCATGCATCCACTCAGTAATGAATCGAACTTGCCAGGATTCGACCCTGTAGTCTCCTGATTGGTAATCAGGCGTATTATCCATTGCGCTACAGACCCTTGGTTTATTCAGTTAACTGAGATCTTGAAAGTATCCAACTGAGTTAATAAGTACTAAAATATTGATTGGTAACTGAAATTTGCAATTATATTCACTTGATGTTGTTCTACTTGTATCTTCCGACTGTTATTTAGGACTGCATTTAATCAGTTTCCTGTTGGCATATGTGCATCCTGTGCGGACTGCCTTGATATTGCATGAATTCACAAGCTTTGTAAGCAAAGATGGATATTGGCTAGCAGTGGAATCCATCAACTCTGAAATGCGGGTAGATCCAGCTGATGAGTCACAAATAGGACTAAAAGTGCCGCCTGGATTCCACTGCTAGCCACTATCTATCTTTGATTATCAATTACAGTTTATACAAGAATGATGAGATAATAAATAGTTGACAGTGGGTGAATAACCTCATAAGATTGATAATAAAAACTCATTATATTCTTGTGAGAAATTTGTACAACCATTACCCCACAGGAACAATAATGGTTATCGCTGTACATACAGATCACTAAATTGTGAAATTCCAGTTGTTCAAAAATACAACTTTTGTTGTCATGGTAAATCATAAATTAATCAAAGTTTTCGAAATCTCACTTATTACCTGAATAATATCATCTTCACTGAGAGATCTTGAAGTACCAAGTTCAATACCATATAATATCACATATGAACAATTTCCAGGGTTCTTTAACTAAGTTCAATTACCTCATCAATGTTAATTGATTTTCATTCGATCTCAAACTGATTTTGATCTGTGATAAAAGTTATTTTCGAATTATACGATTCTTTTCACAAAATATTCTAGTAAGTTATCATTCGTCAAATTAACATTATTAATCTGTTCAAACTTTTTTCATTTCATTTCTTAAAACTAACAAAAATAATGAGAAAGTAAAGTTTGTATACAGGTTATTCACATCATTCAACTTAAGGAAACATAAATTCACTTGACATTGTTTTGCTTGTATCTTCCGATTTAGGTTTAAGACTGCAATTGATCAGTCTCTTATTGGCATATGTGCATACTGTGCGTATTTCCTCGATATTACCTTAAGTTACAAGCTTTATAAGCAAAGATGGATAGTGGCTAGTAATGGAATCCAGGACACGCGTTTCGTCCTATTTGGGACTTGTCAGCTGGATGTATCTGCATCACAGAGTTGATGTTCAATCTGGGACTTGAAGATTCAAGCAAAACAATACCAAGTGAATTTAAATTCACCCCATTGTACAAGCAAGTGCCTGTCAGGGCTCAGTAGCTGAGTGGAAAACATGATGACGTTTGATGCCAATGGTGCTGAGTTCAAGTCTCAGAATGAACATCAACTCTGAGAATCAGGTACATCCAGCTGACGAGTCGCAAATAGGACGAAACGCGCGTCCTCGATTCCACTGTTAGCCACTATCCATCTTTGCTTAAGGAAAAATAAGTTTATTATTGAAATCTTTTATTAAAATTAACTAGGTTTAAGCTAACGAGAATGACTAAACACAGCATTACGAATATTTCTGATGCTGTTTTCCTATATGCTAAAGAAATCGTTTATATATATATCACTCTGTTTCAATATGGAACATTATGAAGGTGTAGTATAAATGAAATGGTGTATATAGTTTTGTAATTACAATTTTAATCTAAATTTTTTGACCAAAGCTCTCCATGACTATTGACAGTCCTTCTTCCAAAAAGAAACCCTAAATATCTCGAATTATATAATCGATCGCATGTGTGAATGCAATCAGCATTGAAATCAATTTAATGCTGAGCAGTAAGTCTTAATCGGCTAAAATTTTAGCGAAATTATTTCTTTACTGATTAGCTAGATAGTAACGTTTTATACAATAAAATGGAAGTATAGACTGACATCCTCATTATTCAATAACAGTTTCATGATACTAATCAATTCACTAAATGATCCATTGCAAAGATTTAACTCAAAGTTAAAA